GGCTCGGTAGAGGGACCAGGAGCGGAGCTCGTCGCGGTCGAAGAGAGGAGCAGGGGGTGGGACCGTGTAGTCCTTTGAGATGTGGTCGTCGCCGGCTTCGATGTCATCGGTACTTCTCCGCATGTTTTGACCTAGCTAATTCGTTCGTCCGATGAAGGGCCTGGTCGTCAGGTTGTACGCATATAATCTTCAGTCCGGGGGGTAGTTTTGGGAGTGGGAGTTTGGCGCCACGGGCGTCCAGACCACAAAACGCATCTCTTTTTCAGGGACATATGTATGGTCGTCCGAATTACTTTGTTTTAGGAAGGCCAGCCTGGTCGCTACGTAACTAACTAGTTGACTGGCCCTTTGCACCTGCACAGCACCGTACCTTAGGGGACGAATCAAGTTCAGATCAAAATTCAAACCAGCCAACTTCAAACTATTCTTTTTTTCAAACTAATTTTTAATCTTATTTGGCTTCAATCAAATCTTGTTTGCTGTTGATTTTAATCAAAATTCAAACCAGCCAACTTCGATGCTGTTGATTTGGCTTCAATCAAATCTTCTTCCGGCAGTGCGTAAATCCCCCCATATTTCCAAGTAAAACCTTCGAGTTTTGAACAATCAAAATCAAAGCGTGAGGCGAGGAATTGGCAGAAGGGCACAACTTAAAAAAGTATGTCCAAGACTTGTAATTTTCTTGTTCATATACCATTCTAATTAATACAGACTCTGCAGGTGGCTAATTAGTTACATGGCTCGGCAACATATATAGGGAGCTAGGAATGAAAACGACAGTTGTACTATAAGTTCTATACTACTCTTGTATCATCACTATCAAATGTATGTGCTCCTTTCTTAAAAATCGTCAGGAGAAAGTGCGAGCCACCGTGGGCCCTACTTTCTTTTTTTTATTTTCTGCATGAGAACCAAATTAAGTAGTGTACTTAAGTAGTACAGTTTATCATTGCTCAGGAATAATTTGAGATCAAATCAATGGTACAAGACTTGGTTCCTCCATTTAAAAGTGAAAACACATAACATCCGCTAATAATATTCATTACATTATCGGTTATTGGGTGGAGTACATCCGTAGAGAGAGATGATGATAATACTTAAATTAAAAGGCGTAACAACGGTGTAGTTCTCCAAAAGACACGTACGGATGGATCTGCTGCAGCCTTTGCTTTTTTTTAAAAAAAAAACCAGAAAGGCAAACGGATCACACGAGTTGATGCTAGTAGTACTGAAGCAGGGGAACTTGACTAAATACGAGAACGAGCCAGAAATTAAGATACAGATCAGACGTGATCTCCAATTCTTTTCTGATTACCACCCGGCGCAAGACGATACATCACATGCGAGGCGGGGGGCGCGTTGATCGGTTTGATATCAAGGGAGGCTTCTGGACGATCCCAGGGCCTTGACAGCCCCTGCTCTCAGCACTACTTGGTGATAAGCCGCAGCAATTGCAGCACCAATCATGGGCCCAACCCAGAATATCCACTGCATACGCGTATTTTATATGACAGTAACATTAATATATCAATTCCGAAACCCTCTGAATATCTGTGTGTGTTTGATGATTAGTTAATTAAAACTAGTCTAGCCTGCATTGATTAGTTACCTGATCATGCCAAGCTTTGTCCTCGTTGTAGATGACAGCGGCTCCCAGGCTCCTAGCGGGGTTGATCCCCGTCCCAGTGATCGGGATCGTGGCCAAGTGCACCATAAACACCGCAAACCCAATCGGCAGCGGAGCCAAAACCTACCAATTTATCGCAAAATTAACCATTAGTTAATTAATTAAAATCCCCGCCAATTCCTCGCAAACGCGCAAGTACATCCGATCCGATGCGAGCACGTCTACCGAGCCTAGTAGTATAAATGGGCGTAAATTAAAGGTGGTATGGTTACCGGCACGTGGGAGTCACGCGCGTTCCTCTTGGGATCAGTCGCCGAGAAAACGGTGTAGACCAAAACGAAGGTGCCAATAATCTCAGCGGCGAGCCCAGTTCCCTTTGAGTAGCCATCACTCAACTCGTTAGCTCCGCCCCCGTACTGCGCGTAGAAGGAGCTCTGGAACGCCTTGACGAGCCCAACCCCACAGATGGCGCCCGCACACTGCGCAATCATGTACAGAACCGCCCGAACCAGCGACACTTTCCGAGCCAGGAACAGACCGAAAGTGACCGCGGGGTTAATGTGGCCCCCGGAGATCCCCGCGGTGCAGTAGACCAGGATGAAGATCATTCCACCGAACGCCCAGGCGATGCCGAGGATGCCTACGCCGCTGCAGGAGGCGTCGGCGCCGAGGCCGGGGTCGGACTGGTGCTTGTAACCGATGACCGTGGCCACGGTTATGTAGAGGAAGAGGAGCGTGGCCACGAACTCTGCAATGACTGCGCGGTAGAGGGACCACTTTGTGAGCTCGTCGGCGTCGAAGAGAGGGGATGGGGGTGGGTCGATGTAGTCCTTCGCGGTGTAGTCACGGCCTGCTTCCACGTCCCCCTTCCCCATTAGTTCGATCTCTCTATGTATATTAATTAGTAGTAGTAGGGCTTCTGCGAGTAACGCGCGGTTGCTTGAGTTGAGGATCTTTTAGGTAACTGGTGAGGAGAGATTGAGGGAGTGACCGCCAAATTTATAGGAGCTTTGGGGGCAGGCCAACTTTATTTGTCCGTGAGCGTGAAGGCTTTGCCGCCCACTGGCCTCGGCACCACAAACGCTTGCTTTTTTAGGAAAAAAGATGGGGCCGGAGGGTCACCGCAGGATTAATTTTTTTAAAATTGAAAAAAAAAACCAAATCAGACCAAAATCAAATCAATATTATCAGCACGAGGGAAAATGCCTGAAGTTATTATCAGAGTCATTGTGACAAGATGTCGGCATTGTTTCAAAGCACTGACTAGTGAGTCCAAACGTTTTTCACAAGTTTCAAAGAGGACAAATTTTCAATTTAGCCCAATTCGGAAACTTATTCTCAAAAGAAAGGCCTATTTGAAAAATATTTACCAAATTCGACTCAGTTTCAGCTCGTCACGTTTTTGAGATTAAGTTTCTAAACGTGTTGCTTTTGAAAATTTGTCCTTTCAAAAGATGATATTAAGCTCCACAGGATAGTACTGACTGGATGAAAGACGTCGGATCAATTATTAAGCAGGTAAAAAAAAAAAAAGAGATTTGAAGTTATATATATGTATTGCAGGAAAAAAATCTCAAGGCAATCCTGCTCACCGAAAAACTTCCACTTCGTTGAAAGCATTACACCCCTAGCGAAGATTTTCTATCCTCCGTAGCTCAAGGACATACAATGACCTAACCCCAAAGGGAACGAGAATAAGCAATGAGATTTGAAGTTATATGCGTATTGCTTGTGGTACGAGTTGTGGACTTCGATTAAAGTTAGGAAAGAAATCAAATTAGAATCCCATCAAATCCCTCAATTTAGTAAACCGATTAAAGTTAGGAAACAATTTATGTGAGGATTTCTCCCAGCTAGACGCCACGTGGATTTTACCCACAAAGGAAGGGGAATCCCATACCCAACATATTGATACTTAAAACTAAGTAGAATATATTTATAAAATGGAGATATATAGAAACAGTAAAGTAGGACTGTAATTAATCAGGGAAGGGTGTGCTGTTGGTACACAGTAGGCTACGGGGGCAAAAGGTAGGCGAATACATTAAAAAATGAAAGGGAAACGCACAGGGCACAGCCCCGTGACGATAATTAATGGAAGGCTCCACCAACGATTAATTTAGAGGCCGGGGAGTCATTTAATTAATTAATTGTACGTGAGCGGCCGTACCTTCATCGAGATGATGATACTGATGAATGATGCGAGTTGAACCCAACACTACAGCATGTTTGTCAATGCACACGGACGTCACCTCATCGAGGAAAAAGGATGAGACGGGCGGTCCTAATGATTAGTTAAGATTAAGTAAAAAAAAAAAGGAGGTGGGAGTCGGAGCACTTTTCTGTGGCCAGGAGTGAGTTGACGGTCACCGATGCACGCACGTCCCCATCGAGCATCACGCACGTCAACATGAACAGGTCAGCAGCAGTATTATTATTGGCGGAGGGGAGCCTCAGGCGGTTCCCGTGGTGCATCACGACACGGAAAATAACGCCGACCAACAGCACTGATCTCAAATCAATGCGGGCCTCATCTAATTAAACTGCTTCGCACTTTCGCAGCACTGGGGCTCCCTCACGTTGCGATACTCACTCAGCACACCCATCTATCAGTCACTATTATTTAAGAGAACTCTCTTTTCGGTGCTCGCTCTATTATCCCCACGCGAGTCCCGAATTCAAATAATTTTATGAAATGTCCTCATAATTTATCCATAATAATGCATATTATATTCCGAAAGTAAATGTTCTCCATCACAGCCAGAGTGCGTATCACAAACGGAAAACAGAAACATCAAGATACAAGTAGTGGTTAGTATTATTGGTGGGGGGAGACTCGGGGGCGGTTCTGGCGTTGCATCGGGACGCCAAAAACAAACTAGGGCATCCCCCCATTAATTACATTAGCCACACAAGTAGTGATGTTTAGGGATAGTTTTTATCCTGAGTGACCATTGTGCCCAAAACGGTCGGGCCGGCCCGGCCGCAACGGCTATAAACGGTCGTTTGACCGTTTTGTCCCCAAAAACGGTCAAAAAACGGCTATTTTGTGAGGTTATTTTGGTCATTTGCTTAGGAGGCTGGTTCTATAAATAGAGGGGGGTTTTCATTTGTTTTCTTCACACCAAAACTCATCTACTTCTCTCTTATACTCTCTCTTATACTTTTATACTCTCTTATTTATACTTTCTAATCCTTTCATCAAATGGCTTCCGGATCTGATTATGAAGAGCAAAACCTATCTCCCGATCCTGAAATGAGTCCTCCTACTGGGTCTACTCCGAAGTTAATCCTGAACCCGGTGGCGACGAATCTACACCAAGAGCTCCTAAAAGGCCAAGATCCGATGTGTGGAATTTTTTAGAGAAGATCAACGTCACCAAGGATGAACACGGTAGGATCCTCACTCAGAAGGCTAAGTGTGCGTTGTGCGGCAAGATTTTTCAAGCTCATCATAAGAGCGGCACCAACCACCTCAAACGCCATTTAGATAAACACAACAAAGGCCAGACTCCTCAAGGTGATATCCGACAATCTATGATTTCTCAATCCTCCTCTTCTGGTAGTCTCGGTAGTTGGAACTATGATGCTGCCAGAGCTAGGAAATGAGTAATCAGGTTTATCATTCTTAAAAACCTTCCTTTTAAATTAGTAGAAGATGATGAATTTGAAGATATGTTTAGAGATGGTTTTTATCCTGCATTTAAAAAAATTTCTCGTCAAACCTGTCAACGTGATATTTTAAAATATTATCAGGAAGAACAAGGAAAAATAATTTCTTATTTTAAAAATTTAAACTGTAAATTTTCTTTAACTTCTGATATTTGGACATCTAGAGCACAAACTGGATATTTATGTATCACAGCACACTGGATTGATAAAAATTGGCAAATGTTTAAAAGAGTTGTTTCTTTTATTGCAATAGAAGAGTCACATACTGGTGCTAATGTTGCAAATTTAATAATTGAAGAACTTATGAAATTAGAAATTTCAGAAAGAATATTTTCTCTTTCACTAGATAATGCAAGTAATAACAATGTAGCTGTTGATTTTATCAGATCATCTTTATCATTGCCATGTCATGGTAATCTTTTTCATATTAGGTGTATCTGTCATATTTTAAATTTAATTGTTCAAAGTGCATTTACTGAAATTAAACCCATGATAGAAAATGTTAGAACAGTTGCTTACATGGATAATGCTTCTGAACAAAGATTTAAAAGATGAAAACAATTTTGTAAAAGAAAAAATGTAAAGCTCAGACTAATTCCAAAAGATGTTGACCATAGGTGGAATTCCACCTATGTAATGTTAAGTGTAGCAATAGAATATAAAGACATTATAACTGATCTTATAAACTATTATGCTTCTAGTTCTAGTTCTGGTAGCACTTATGGAATAACTGAAGATGAATGGACAATTATATGTAATTTAAATGAAATGTTACAATTTTTTATGATGCTACAATGTTATTATCTGGCTGTTATTATCTAACCATTACTTTAGCTGCTTTACAAATTTTAAATATTCAAAAAAAATTTGGGAAATATCGTATGGATGATACTTTTGGACCTATGATTTTTCAAATGGAGAGCAAATTTAATAAGTACTTTAGGCATATTCCTCATATTTTTGGTTTGGGGGTTCTTATTGATCCATGCTTGAAGGATATTGGCCTTCGAAGTTTGTTACAATCATTGTATGGTAATCAGATTATAGACTTAGATGATGGAACCACCCTTACTGCTACTACTCATCATTTAGCTATTAGAAATTATTTTCAAACCTTATATGATGAGTATGCAGCTAGACATGGTGTAGCTGCACAACAGTCTGCAGCTTCGGTTTCTTCGAGCTCATCCCGAGCCCGAGGTAAAAGTGTAAGTTTTGATAGGTATGCAATGGTAGCTGAGCTAACTGGTGGATCTGGACTTGGATCGTCATCATCGGAGGTTTCTGAAATAGATGAATATTTTTCTGCTTCTTTAGTTAGATGTCAAGGAAATGCTTTAGATATTTTGCAATGGTGGAAAGTATATGGATCAGTTTCATATCCTATACTTTCCACCATGGTTCGTGACTTACTAACAGTGCAGGTTTCGACGGTAGCTTCGGAATCCGCCTTCAGCACAGCAGGTCGTTTGATCGACGATCACAGGACATGCTTGGATCCATATACTGTACAAGCGGTGATGTGCCTACAAGATTGGTGGAGGTACGAGAAGCGAACGCAAGGCATCGATCGGATGGCTGGAATTGAAGATAAATTTGAAGAATTGGGACTAGCAGATAGATATAAAGAATAGATTGTAGTTTTTATATCTTAGCTTAAAATTTGTAAAGAATTATTTTGGAAATAGTTGCAAATGATAGTGATATAGGTGAGTAGGTGCCAACCTAGTTGGGATTTACTTATCTATTGTGATGCGATTAATTCCAAAATAAATTTGTACTTGTAATTTGTAAATGATTTATTAATTATTAATAAAGAATTTATTTTTATTATTTTTTATTTGTAATTTATGTTATTTTAAGTGATTAATAAAATTATTATTTTTTATTATTTTTCTTGTCTTTTTTTTATAATTTAAAATTTAAATAAAATCTAAAAAAATTAAAAAAATTAAAAAAAATCCGGACCAGACCGGAACCCGGCCCGGTCGGGCCCGGGTCCGGGCCCCGGTTTTGCCCGGCCCGGATGGACAGGCCTAACGCAGAGCACTGACATCTAAACTGACGCATGCACCCCATGCTTGAGTGAGCACACAAGCAATCAGAGACTCGTATGGCAACCAAATCAAGTCCCAAATAATACATTACACGCAAACTTGCACCACATTATGCAAATTATTCTGAATCCAACATTTTCATCACAGCCGGTCCATATCACTACTTGAAACGGAAAGAGAAACATGAAAGTGCCCACATTCACAAATCATGACCATAAGCACGGGCATGCATATACACACAAAGTGCATATGCATGTGCATACAAATGCATGCACATACACACGACATGCGCATACAAACGCACACAGAGGGCCACCT